TAAATGCCGTGTCAGGGCTGCACTTGTAACCGCCTAATTAGCAAATGTCCTACTTTAACGATTTTTTGTTCCTCTCTTTCCTTCCTTCTTCTTTTTTGGAATACAAATAAATAAAGAAATAAAATAAATACGCGTGTCAAAGGTTTGGTTTTGGTTTTGTCTTTGTTTTGGTTTAGTTTGTTGTCATTATCTATGCTCAGTTATAATTTAAAACAATAACTACATTTGTCGTAATGTAGATGTGTTTATGAGTTACTCAGAGATACATCTGCATTTATTCGCTTCAGTATTATTATTATTTTGTTGTTGTAATTGTTGTAGGAGTATTGTTATATGAAATTATTTATATTTTATGTTGGTTACTAGTTGCTATTATCTACTATTGTGACAATCTAATTGTAATATTTCTACAAATGATTTTATTGTTTCAACTTGAAATGTATCTGAATATCTAAAGTCGCAAACTTTATGTGAATTGAATATAAAAATATTATATGTATTTCGCACATTTTTTTTTTAGTTTTCAGTAGACAACAGTAGGCTATTGATATGTACACATAATTTACGCGCTGAAGTTATAATTTTTATTTTTATGAATACATATAATAAAGTATGCATACAGGGTATTTTCTTACTAAACTATATAAAGTCAGAAGATAATTCCAAGAACGATTTGAATTGTATGGGAGAATTGATTCATCATAATATTTTTAAACAATTTCTTGCTAAATATTAACACTATTATATCTGAATGGAGGAATATAAAATAACATTTAAATTTTTTTTTAAATTAAGGGTTTTATAATTGATATTTCTTGTTTTAATAAGTAGTTATAGCATTAATAGTTATATTAATATAGAGAAAATAGAGAAAAAGGTCTCATAAAACCCAATATTTTAATGTAGATGTTTCATACAGAATTTTTTCTTATTTTTAACCACACTAACAATAGAACATTCTTTTATAGCAGTTAGCAGTTATAGCAGTTATTAATTAAAACTGTACATATATAATTCAGTCCCATAATGGCAAGATATCGATTTTCGCATAGAGAAAATGGTTTCAAAAGGTTTCACAAAACCATTCCTATGTATTTCGCGTTTTTAGTGCAGTTAACTGACACTTTACTTTAGCATTTTTTTTGACTATCTGCTTATTTCATGTTTTTAGTGCAGTCAGCTAACACCTTGCTTTTTAAACTGTAAACTTTATTGTTTGTAAAACACTTTATAGTATGTGATTATACGATTTTGTAGATTTAGTTAAATCGCGACTTCTTTACATTAATAAATTTGAGATAAGATTTAGTGAACAGGTATAATAAATTAATATTAATATTTTTTTAATAATATTGCTGAAGTTTCAAAGTTTTTTTGACTTCGTCTTCAAGCTATATGGGTTTAATAACGGTTAATATTAAATAAGATCACGGTTTATAAATACTGTAAATCACCTAAGGATCCTATTGAGTAGTTACACTAGCTAACTCCTTTAAAGATCTCAATCATTACTTTCATAGGTCAAAGGAGAGATCACTTTAGAAGTTTCCATGCCTCAACAATTAAACTAGAGTGCGAGAATATCAGCAATCAGCTTGTTGACAAGCCTAACTATATTGGTATTGTGCTATCCTGTAGACACAAATTTATTTTGAATGTAAATATGCTAGTTATAACGCCACTTTCTGATATACTCAAACAAAAATTGCTCTTCGCGTCACAAAAAGCTTAACTGTAAAGTTAAGCTCAAAACAACAATTTAAAAATAAAACTATCTGATTTGGTGCTCTCTTGTTTGTGACGATAACTTAAATATATCACTACTATAACTTCAGACGAGCCGTCCAAATGTGGTATCATTGATAGTAGCTAAAAATCTACAGACAGTATAATTGCCAATAGACCTACAAATACACGTATTTAAAAGGTTCTGTTTACTTTAAAACCCAACTTCAATAAATATTATTCAATTCTCATAACTTTATTAACTTCTTCAATAATGTTTTTATAGAATAAATCAGTTCAAATATTATATTTGGGATATTAAATGAAAACTGTTATGGTCAATGGGACTTTTGTCTAAAAAATAGTTAAGATATTTATATACATATTATCATTTTTAGTACACAGCTGACTTAATAGCAATATGTTAGCATGATATTTAATTAAAAACCATTGATCTTATTGCAAAATAAGAATTCGTTTTATTGGTCAAGGAAAATATCTTCCATTTTTTAATGGTGTATTACTAGGCAGAAACCTTTTCATCTTAATTTTTTAGTACCTTAATTCTTATAATTATTTAACAAAATAACTTTTGTCTTAATTTTTTTTTATCTTTCAAAATTTTTATTATATTAACTTGTAGGTTGAAAATAAAGAAATAGTGAATGTCTATTCTAATATTATTATTGCTGACTATTAAATTGATTAATTTTTTTCGATAACAGCGAAGGTAGTATTTGAATTTAGCTAATACCAAAAAACTAAAAATTTCTGTCAAATACTAATTATTTTTGCAATATGCTTCATATATCTGGAATTACAAAATAAGTGAATGGATTTTCAATGCCTCTAAGATAAGTTTTCAAGATCTAAGATAAGTTTACTTCATATGGAAGATTGGTAAGTATTTTGATAATATACTTTTTAATTTTATATAATAAAAATATATATTACAACATAATTAGATAATAATTAATAATTTGATAGTCACGTGTGCTAATTCTGGCACTTGCAATCCAACAAATTATACACGAACTATAAACTAATTAAATAAAAATTTGAATATTTCCTAGCGTTTTGCTGACCGTAGCCAAAATTCAATAAATCAATCAAATTTTTGTTGTTGTTTCTTCATTACTGTTACCCTTCATTACCCTTCTAACAATTCATAATTAGAAAATTGAGTGTTGAGTTAATGTTGAGTCCGGTGTTCGAATGTACATAATGGTTCTTTTTATGTTCTACCAGTAGGTTTTTGCAAAAAAAAGTGCTTTGCAGTACTTTTTTCTTACTGTCTTCCACATGTCAAAATGCGAGCTAACAATGTTAACAGTTTTTGTAACAAATATAAGTTAACAGCAGATACATTGTACGAAAATTTTTAAATAGACAGTAACAATACGAAGAAAGTAAAATTTTTATGTTTAAAATACATTTCTTTGTATGAAAATTAAAGTTGGCATGGCATTATTATTCGAAGAATTGTGGGAGATCGTGAAACTAGAGTCTACACATTCTTGCAATAAATAAAGAAATTTACGAATTTTATATTAAGTACGACAATATGTTAGGTTGCTTGTTGCTGTGGAAAAAACATCAGCAACAATTGGTACTAAAATTTGTATTTCTAGTGCCAGCATTAATTAAACATATGCGGATACAGAACTCAGTTTAGACTTTTCCTTTTAATTTCAATGAAGTACTTTTTAGGGTCGGCATATAAGTTACTTAGAGTAATAAATAATATTAAATAATTCGGTTCCTAGGTTAATTGCTCTACTAAATACATTATAGTTATTTTTTTTAACACTTGATAGCACAAGTTAAAGTTAAAGTTCTGGCTTTGTTAGAAAATACAGTCTTGGAAGCTCAAATAAATTTCAGAGATTCAGAAGGGCTAACAATGCAACACGACAAACAATCTAATCAGTGCCAGTTATTGTGCTTCTTAAATCCGAAAATCATATGAGCGGTAAGATATCTCTGATTCCTCTGTCTTAAAGGGAAAAGAATATATTTCAGGTGATAGGCGTCAATGGCTAAATATTCCTTGGGAATATTGTAAGAGAATCCAAGGGCGTACATTAGCTATCTCTGTATTGATAGCTGAATTCAGTGACGTATTAAATATATATGCTTATTACTCATTGCGGGGCGGTACGCCATGCGTGTATCGCTTCGCTCCAAGCACAGGTTGTAATTGATCCACTCACTAAGCAAGAAATCTTTCCCATCTTTTACTATCTTTCATTTTGAATTCTATAACCAATTATTTAAAAATATAAACAATAATCTTGGAGTAAAAACAAAAGGTTTTCTTGCCTTTTTACGCCAGAAGATTGTAAGGAAGTTTCGAAAATCGTGTAATGAAAAAATTGGGCATAAACCAGATATGCATGAGAGATTATTTTTATATGTCCGATATTTAATTCGTCACACACGGATATTTCGGCAGATTTCGTTTTTTTGTGCTTTTTAAAAAAAATAAAGGTTTATTGAAAAGATTAAAACAGATGCATGTCTTAAAAATACATGTCTTATCAGATAACCAATATCTCTCTCATTCATTGTAAATATCATCAAATACTTAAATAGTTTTATACGGCGTTTACATTGGCCGAAAATGGCTCATTTTGGATGAGTCATTTGAAAGTGTTTACATTCGTTGTATTTCATTTTTTCTCATTACAAACAGCTGATTTTTCAACTTGCATGTTGATTTAATTTTTGGTCTGTGCCAAAAAAATGTTACAGGAAGGTTAAATATACCTTCAAACCTTACAATATAAACTGAAAACTTGTTTCTAGATTCGATTTATTTATTTTTGGGAAGTAGAAGTTCCAAAAATTGGTGCATCGTTTTAAAGAAAATGCAACCACTAAACATTTGTTTATCTTTTTTTGTAAATATGTCAAAGCAGCTTTTTCAAACTGTCAAAATGCCATGAAGAGCTTTCATTTAGGGTATGTTCAATAGATTCCTTTGCATTTGGAACATATGTGGAATGCATTCGAACGTCATTCATACAGAATGTGAGAAAATTGCTCATTTTGTGCTTGAAATTTTATATGCAAGAATGAGCCATTCGATACTCATTTTCGATTATTGACCAAAATGAGCCATTTTCGGCCAATGTAAACGCCATTTTAGCCAGCATTAATTGTTATTATATTTTTTTTAAACAAAGAAAGCAATGTTTAGGTAAAAATTGAAAACTAAAATTAAAAAAAATTGAAAATTTTATTTTATTTATTTTATAATGAATTGAAACAATTTTGGCGGTGAATTAGATACAAAATTTTAAACTTTCAAAATAAAATTAATTTTATCAAATTATTGTAAACTCTCATTAACAATAACAGATTTGTCTGAGTACCGATTACTTTTCGTCTTCAAGTAACATATAAAACAAATGGCATCCAATAGTATGATACAAAGAACTACCTTAACAGATGAAGATTATGTTGTTAGTCCACCAAAAAACTGCGACTTAATGGTTACTGAAGTCAAACAAATGATTGACTCCCAGAGTCAATTTACAAATGAGGAATTGGTTTGGGTATCTATTGTATATAAACAATCTGTTAGCAGACGCCGTGAATCTTGGAATTCTATGAAAACTGCACTTGATAAAGAGAAGGATACAGGCAACATTGGAAAGGTCAAGAAAGCTAAATCATTGCTTAAAGATATTGAAAACGAAATACGTTTCTATTGTAACGATATTCTACACATACTACAGAAGAAGTTTATACCAACTGCCACTAGTAATAGTATGAAGGTCTTATGCTATAGACTAATGGGTGATTATAACCAATATCTAGTAGAGCTTGAAACTGATGACTTAAGAATTGAAATGTGTAATAATGTTTTAGATGCTTATAATGCCGGGTATGAATTAGCCTTAGAACAATTGGATGCCGGGAGTCATGAGTATTTGGCTTTAGTTCTAAATTATTCTGTATTTGTGTATAAAACTCTAGGGAATCATAAAAAAGCTATAGAAATGACTATAATTGTACGTAATGATGTTGCAAGCCAAATAAATCCAAAAAGTCTAAGTCCGAAAGCGCTCGATGTTCTCAAAATTATGGATACAAATATGCTTAAATGGGGTGGGTTACATGTGGAAGCTGAAACAGATCCACAAGGTACGGCGAAACCCTATCATGCATCTTTCTAAGTATTCACTGTTACTAAACAATAATTTGATAAAATAGTCATATTTCAGTTTAATTTAATAATAAAAGTTATATTTTTGGCGCAAAATGTTAAAAATGTTTTATTTGTGCTTGGTATAGGTTTAGTATTATACATAAACTCATATAATAGCTGCCGCTGGGAGCCTGCTCATATAAAACAATGTATAGGTCTTAAAAAATATTGTAATAATTAAATTGATCTGATTACATTGATCTGAGACTAGCCGTAAGTGTCACGTTTTTGGTTTTTAGTGCTATTAGCCAGCTACTGTAATTAAATTATTGGGTTTTGTAGTAGGTAGATGTCGTGTATTATATCTACGTGATATTTTTAGCTGCATCAGCCAACTACTGTAGTTAAATCGTATTACCTACTTACTAATTATGGTCAACATAAACATCTATCTGAAACTGTATTAGTTGTGCAGTGCCTTTATCGCAACTCGGGATAGCATAGATATATTTCTATTGTTAGTGAAAATGTCGAAGAAGATCTAAATTTATCTGTTACAAGATATATTTAGATATATATTACAGCATCATATGTTGTATTTCATATTTGGACAATTATATTCATCCTTATAAAACTCAGTTAACACCGGAACTGTGACCTGCTGACTATGCAATGCTAGGATATATGCGTGTCTGACGACTTAATGTTTTCTTCAGGCATGAGATTAATTTTTAGTTTGATGGATATATCGACAAACAAAATTCTCTTCTATGAGGGCAGTGAAAATCTACTATTATATTCACAAAAAATCACTGTATAGAGTGGCATTACCTACTTCTGTAGATGATAAAATTTAGCTCTGCCTCATTTTTGATAATTTTAGTTCTAGTATTCAGCTACTGTAGTTTATTCGTGCGGTTAACATTATGTCTAGGATTATTTAAAAATATTGAAGAAAGGTGTATTAAAAATATTTCCAATAATTTTTAATAAAATTTTAACTAAAGTGAAATTTTTTATAACTTCATTAAGTTATTATGATTGAGTCTGAAATAAGAGTGAGTATAAATACACATTACGAAATAGTAATTTTCATTTACAATCACTGCTCTAAAAGTACATTAGGGATGCTATGTTATTTAAGTTATATGAGTTCAATGAGTTATAGAAAGTAGCTTATGTATTCAACAAAGCACGCTTTGAAACAAATTATAAACAAATACTCGCACTCAATAAATAAATCTTCATTTTAGCAATAATATTTTCCATTTGGTTGGTCAATGGTTAATAAATCGCAACAATTATTTATTGACTTACCTATGTGTAGCGGTAACAACAACAACAATATACGAACAATAGATAGATTTGTCAAAACGTAGTCCGTCAATCGTTAGTGACAAATTTTGATTGGACATGTTTTCACTTTCTTTCGCTAAGTACTTTTTTATACAATATATATACATATATATATTTATATATATATTTATATATATATTTATATTTCATTGAAAAATCGTTTTAATTGTGTACGAAAAAAGTACTTCAATGTAGGCTCATCAATAAATAAAAAGTGAAAATTTTCAAAGCAACTTATTTTTCTATTTCTATCTGTGTATGTATGTATTATATATATTGTTATAATAATATATATTTATATACAATATATAATTAATGTATTTGCTATAATTTCGCTTTGAATTTAATTTATTTAATATCAATAATTAGTGTATTTAAAATTTTATAATGCTTTTATATTAGCAATAGTACTTCATTGCATTTCGTAGTAAAAGTAATTATTTTCAATTACTCAAGCTTGAAAGTAATTAATTATGTACATTGATTAAGTAAAGTACAATGAAAAGTGGCTTAATGGGATTGCCTGTAGCTGGCAAGTGTTTAAATTTTCATAGATTCAAGTCACGTTTTTTGCAGTTTGTGCAATTCTTTTTTTTTTGTAAACTGTCATCTACAAATGCTAGTAACTAGAAATTTGTTCTACCCTCCCGTTGTTGCTATTGAGATCATGAAATTGTGCTCCTTTAAACGAAAACGTAATTAAATTGTTAAAAATCTTGTTTTGTTTTTCTATAGCGAAATAACCAAGTTCTGATGTTTTATTTAGTTGCAAAAAAAACATTGTAATTCCTATCTACCTGTTGTTAATCTCGAGTCGTTATTTACAATTAAGCACAAAACCACGCCCAATCTACATTCTACAATCTTTTGCTATTAAACTTATAAGTTAATTAATGATTTATTCTATTTCTCTACCAGCAATTATGCATTAATGCTCACGCTGACCTGGTCAGTCAAGTGTATAAGTTAGACTTTTCTGATAACAGTTGCATTTTGTATAATTTTTTTCGTATATTATTTATTTCCTTAAGTAAACTAGAATACCTGCGATATATAATTAAAACTTAATATTCAAAGCAATTTTCATGAAAAACTTAAATAAATTTATAGCAAAATGTAAATCTGTCGTTTGGCTGTATCTCAAGTCGGTGTTTCTCCTGACTGTATCTCGTGTGCGAGTTACTTTGTGTATAGCTTTGCATGCAAGTCATGGCCGAAAAATTATTTTATTATAAAACGAGAACATTCTGAGATATTAATATAAGTAAATAGTTAAATAAACTGCACCTAATAAATCATAGCATATAAATTTTATGAATTTTATTACCTGCTGCAGCATAAATTTATTTTGTTGGCTATATTCGAAACTTAATTTGTTTGCGGCACATGCCACTCTCTTCCACTCTTATTGCGATTTCAAAAGGCTTGGTTTGGTTTGGTTTTCAAAACTGAATGCATAAAACAAAATGCAACCAACAAAAATAATTACTGTTCACTTTGAAATACTTTCTAAAAAGTACATTGCAAAAGTACTTTAATTCGTAATAACTAAAAGGTGCAAACCTACATTCATCAAAAAAAAAAATGCATACCAAATTCTTCTTAAAAAAGCGCACATATGAAAAAGTTACGTACCAACCCAGTACCAATAAAATTAAAAAATAAATTTGTTATATATAAAACTTGTATAAAAAATATAACTACAGTGCAAACTCTTTCAATTGCACATAGACAGGAACAAAAATTCTGTTTAATTAAGAAAACTGTTCCTTGAAAAGAACACACTCTGTATAAGATATAAAGTCTGGTGATTTATAAGATTACACGTTTAAAAGAGATGTCCTTTCAATAAGAATGGCTGTTTAACAGAGCTTTTACTGTACAATTACATTATAAAAAAGGTCCTATATATGAGTGTATGTACGTATCAACCATTTTATTTGCTTGTTTTGTATCTTTTAAATGTTTTGTTTTTGTTTTATATCTTCAACAGAATGTTTTACATAAATGGGTTAAATTTAATGCCTAAAAGAATTTATGACCTGCATTTAGTACAAAGGAAATTCTCTTTTTTCGTATTGTTTTTAAAATATTTGTAGCTTTTTGTTAATACTTTCCTTTGAAAATTTATTGTTAAACTATACCGAAAAAAATTATATACATATAGCATATAATAAATGTATATTTATTATATATATTTATTAAATGTTAACTAAAACGAAACGAATATTTTATTTTAAATTTTTTATCTAGCATTAACTTAATTGTTGTAGTTAAAAATAAAAAAATTAGTTTTAGTCTCACTTGAAAACCCATTTAGAATTAACCTACTTAAATGACCAAAATAGTCATCATTTTTATGATCCTGAGTTGGCAGCTCTATTTGAATCGCATATGTCAAACAGAATTGTGATCTTCGCTATCTAGTATTTCATTTAAAATTTTCCATTTTACTATATGGATTATTTTACAAACGTTGAATGTGTTAAAAATATTATGTACTAAAAAATATTATGTACTAAAAATGATAATTTAATAGTAGGTGTCGTATATATATTACGACACCAACATTATCATTCAATAGAGTGCACTATAAGCACAACAGTGAGGAATATTGATCAAAGTTTTGGGACTGTAACACTTGTGGTAAAGCCTACATATTAGAAACTTTCACAATTCCTGGCGCTTTGTCTGGACGACTCCGTTCGCGTTTCTCCTGTAATCACCCTTTGCATGAATTTTACTCTTAGACAGTAATTACTCCCCAGCAAGAACATCCTTTCTTCCTTCTCTCACTTAATTACAATTTGGCTTAGTTATATTTATTGTTTAAATACTAAACCTTAAACCTTCTGTATTCTAAAGCCTGAAATGGGGTTTGAACTTTCGACCCTAATGGGCCAATAGCTGGAATTTATCCATTTTGTATTCCTAAGATGTGGTTTTAATGAATTTAGTGCATATTAATTTGCATTGTCCCTTGACTAGATTAATGAGGATATATATAACTGACACAAATTAATGACTTAACTGCAATGATGGATGACTATATCGTTTTGTTTCATTGAACTTAATAAAAATATATTTACATATGTACTTAACGTATTTTTGGCAAATTAATATATAGCCTTTTGGCAGAGTATGTGAAATCTATATTCAGAAGTGGTTAAATATCTGTATTTCTGATATCCGTATATTTGGCCTTTCTTTTCCTTCAGCTATATTGTGATTTATAGTAATACTTTCTTTGTTTATTGATACGTATATATTAGAATATTCAAATTGATTTTCTGTTTTATGTTTTCTCATTTAATTAATACAATAAAAACATCAATATCTATACATAATTACTCTTGCACTATGAGTGTTGTAATCATTTTTATTAGTGAAAAATGGTAACCATAAATTATTTTAACTTTACATTTCCTTTCACGAATGATGCAAATTCCGTTAATAGCAATTAAACGATTTAACAGTAAAAAAAAACACAAATTAACTCTGCAACTAAACAATTTAAAAGTACATTTCAAGCGGTTCACTGTACCAATTTTTCATCTGAATACGAAAAAAAAAATCTGTTAAGGTTGAGTGAATGTTGCACAATGAAATGCACTAGCAATTGTACAAAACGGTATAACAATAGCTAGATAAAAAAAAATTGCATCTCATTTTCAGAATGACCTTAACAGATTGTGTTGATGAGGTTTTTACAAAAATAAATTCTCACAAAAATTAACCTACAAAAAGTGTTATTTGGTAACTGAAGTTGTCATGCCTAATTGCAGTCGAAAACCCATGACTTCACTTAAGTGAATAAGTAAATGTTGAAAAAGGAGTCAACTTGCTGCAATTTATTGCTACTAAGAACCCAGCGGCAATTATACCAGCGCTGAAAAAGTAAGCGAGGAGGTAATAGCTCTTCGTTTTTATTTTTCTTTGTTTTCGACATTTGTGTTTGACATAAGCAATTTCGGGGTTGAAATTATAAAAGAATGAAGAAGAAAAGCAAAGGAGTATTAAGAATTTCTTGTTTTGCCTACATTGTATACATTTAGTCTGCTTTTGATTTTAGTGAAGTGCCTACAGTGAACAATTTTTAATTTTTAAAATCAAATAAAAAACAAAAATATAAATAAAATATAATTTGTAATTTCACATAAACTCACTGTAAGTATATGCAAAATTAAGTAAATATATTTAAAATGATATTTGAAATTTTTGTTTTGTATTATGTAGATGCTACTGCGTCAAGAACGATTAATTGACCAATGTGCTGCGAATGCAGTCATTCTAAAGCAAGGGGTAATCAGCTGTAGTCATGTAGTCAGCTGTTTCAATTGGAAAATTTTACAATTCAAACTGAGGAGGATTTAATTACTGTGCTGTGAAATCATTTGTGATGATCGAATTCAATTTCCAATGCGAAATTCTATTCAAATTGCAGAAATCAATGCGCAGTTGAGCAATTCCCAGTACGAGTGAATCGACTTGGAACTATGTAATTCCACCAAATTAGTTTGGTTGAAATACTGCGGTGGAACTGCGAAGCTTAGTACAATAGAACAATTACTCATAAATACTCATTGTATCATAATAATTAAGTTCCTAATGTTGATAATTACAGTTGCTTATACTGTCAATATATGTTAAATTATCCAACAGAAACAGTAAATTTACTTGCACAAATTTTTTTCTGAGATCAAATATTTTATACGAATGACGGATGAAGATACATGATTATGAGATACAGATAGTAATGTGTATTTTTTTTTTAGAAATATTTAAACCATACAATACTTACTTCAAATGTATATTTTCTCAACATTTAATTTATAAAAGTCTGAATAAGATTTTATGATAGAATAACATATATAACATACATATATCATACATTTTTAAACCATTTCATTTATCTAAAATCTACACAGAGTATCTTTTTTTTATAATATATTATGTTTATGTTTTTTTTTAATATTTAGCTAATGGCAAATACTTTATTATTATACTACTTTACATTATATTTGTCATTTTTAAGCTCTGTTCCTTCCTCAACTTGCAGCCACTCAGTAGTCAATCTATGACTGACTTCACTTGAGTATCTTTTTTTTTTTGAAAAATTGTATTTTTTTATGTATAATTAAATTTTTAAGTGTGATTCACTTAATTTAACATTTGTATTCATTGTGAATTTTGTGGCTAAGAAATAAATTTTTTTAAAATTTTACTTATGACAAACTTGTGTACTTAAGCAGAATTGATGGAGAGTATGTGTCATTACATCTAATTAAGTTTTCTCGTAAATATTTTACTTAAATGTCAATTTAACTTGAAAGTGATTAGTTTGATAGCAAGTAATTGTTGCAGTAATTAAAACCGATATTAAAAATTATTACAAGGTTAAGAAAGTTTAATTGCTTGGAAGTGTTGAAAGAGCTTCAATTAATACAAAACCGAATCTAGTTTGGAAGCATTGAAAAAAATATATTTAACTCAATTCAATATTCAAAAAGTTTACTAGGACCTCGGAATATAGCCTTCGCAACAATGCGTTCAACTATTAAGTAAACATATTTTAAGGAAGAAATCTGATGTGAGAAAATTTTTCTATGATATAGCTAACTTATAGTCAGTACTCTCTTATAATAATTTTACTCAGTGGTAGAACTTAAACTTGTCGAACATATATTTCGAGAATATTTACGTGAAACTTTACGTGAAGAATATTTCTGAAACCTTCATTGGCAATTCTGGGCGATTGCTTCCTTTAAACGATCCAATTACTGACAGTACAGTTCCGAGTTAGGAGTTTTACCATGGGGTCCTAACAAACGAATCCCAACAAACACACAGCAAAATCTTTCTGGCCATCAGTCCTGGCTTGGTCGCCGTTTTAGCCGGCTCATCGCTATTCGACCAAAACAGAATTTTCGCTTTTCATTGTCGTAAGCGATCCTGATTCACTTATTATCACCAGTCGCCAACTGCTTCAGAAATGGGTCGATTTTGTTGGAATTTAGCAGAGATTTGCTGATGGAAAATCGGTCAATGAAGTTTTTTTACGTAACTCGTGTGGCGCCCATACATAAGGTAGGTGGCTTCTTTTTGTATCCAGCCTTATTCAAATGGTTCCAAACGTGCAATGGTTTTTGTGCAGTCTTTAGCTCTTGGGTTCGATCGTTTCAATGATTTTATCGACATATTGACATCAAAATAACGCATGATTGACTGTTACAGTATCAGGACCTTAAACACTATTCTTATTTTTAGCCATCTGGCTTGCGTTTTCGCCTTTATCAAAGAAAAATTGTAAAATATGGCGTATTTGACGTGCGCTCAAATAAAACTGAGTCAAACAATTACCATAAATTTCCATAAGTTTTTTTTTTTAGTACGAAATCTCATCTTTCTAACGCCATCAAGCGAAACCCGATCGGTCTTATACAACGCGGAATATAGATAACTAAAGCCATCTATTGGGATAGATGCATTTGTTTTGCTACACCTAATACTATCCTTATATTATATATCTGGCTAAAAGATTTGAGATTTACTTTGTAGCACAAAAAAGTTTTGAAAGAGATTTTAACTTTGAATTATTTAATTTATTCGAGTAAACTTTTTTTAACATAGCAAATATTGCTTTTAAATTAATGTACATTATTTAATAATTTTTTTTTAATTTGTTATGATTTCGATACAAAATTCTAAATTTTAAGTATCCAAGAAAAAATCCATTCCATTGAACTGTTATGTATATCGAGTGACGGCACTCATTCAAAAATCTTACTTAGGGTCTTTTGTTTCATTGTTAAATTGAAACATCAAAATGACGGCGACTAATAATATTATACAGATAGCGACTTCTAGAGCCAAAATTAAATTAGCAAATTCAATAAAAGACTACGAAGAAATGGCAGTGGGTGTTAAAGAATTAGTTGAATGTCAGCCTGAACTAAATAAAGATGAATTTGAATGGTTATCTATTGCATATACGCATTGCATCAAAACACGACATGTTGCTTGGACTGAGATGAAAATTACACTGGACAAAGAAAAAGAAAGTGGAAATGATGAAATTATTAGTGCAACCGAGACCAAATTAAAAGAGATCGAAAGTGAAATGCTCTCTTACTGTGCTGATGTTTTACATTTGCTGGAAAAGAAAATTCTACCCAATATCAATAACAACAGTCTTAAAGTCTTATGCTACAAATTAATGGGTGATCATAATCGCTTTCTGGCAGAACTAGAAACGAGTAATGCAGAATATGACGAGTTACACAGTTTTAGCGCTTATCAAAATGGCTACGAATTAGCATCTCGAGTATTGCATATAACCTGCCCAGAATATTTAAGCCTAATTCTTAATTATTCACAATTCGTATACGAGGTACTTGAAGAAAAAGAAAAGGCGAAAGATATGGTTATTAATGTACGAAATGCTGTTGCGAGGCAAGCAGGTATAAAGGAACCAAGTAAAGATGCACTTGATATCCTTACACTTTTAAATGAAAATTTACTTCGATGGGGCGTTACAGAGGATGTGACTGAAACAGAAGACTCACCATCAAGTACTTCTACCAATTCAAATGAGGAGGAACTTTCTTAGATATTAAGTATTTGTGAAGCAATATTTTCATTTAATAAAATGTAGCTTAACTTAAAATTTTGTTTGTTTACTGTTTAAAATATTTCTATTTAAAATTTAATTTATATGTTCAAAAAGAAAATGTTTTCCTTCTCTATTGTATTATTATGTTATGTTGAGGCTGGTTGAGTTAGTGCACTTAAGCACTTTTACTCTCTAACAACTGCGAGATTTCTGCAATATCCCCCTTTACGCCTTGACTGGATTATTATCACTTTTTCGGACTAAACATTTACTGACCTCAGATCTGCATACCTTCCCGAGGAACCTGTAACCGCTCTGAGATTCGATAACCCGGTGTTGGTAAGCCTGTCAGTTTTCGTAAAAACTTTCAGGTCTCTATACTTTATGTATTTTTTGTTCAGATCAATCTTGTGTTTCCTGAGGATGTCGTTCGTCCTAATGTACCATGGCACCTTAAAAAGTCTCAGAGCCTGACTTGGTGCAATTTCAAGCTGGCGAATAGTATTGTTTCAGGCCTTGCTGAACGCTATACACCCATATAGAAGTGACGGTCGAATTATTTGGTTATATATCAGCTTACTGTTTTTATTGTAATTTCTTATATCTTTTTTAAAATGTTTAATGTATATTAAATCAAAGTGTTTAGTAATTTAATTGAAAAAATTGAATAATCACGTTAAGTAGTTTTTTTTATTTGCAGGTTATTTGTATTTATTGCCAAGTGAACTTGAACTTGCAACTTTAAAAGTTACTGAGCAATGCAAAAAACGGTTAAAAAAATTTAAACCATAAATTCTTTTTACTTATTTTGTAAAGATATGTTTTTCTTTATTTATTCTTTATTCTTAAGCAGTAGATAAATATTTTATGGCGCCACAAATTCGTGAAGAAGCCAAGCTGTGCTCCACTCAAGTATCTGTGCGTTTATAAGATTCAATGCTGAAATTTAAGTTGCCACGCACCAATTGGAATAACAACAAAACTTCATACTTCGTAGTATCTAAAGACAAAAAAAAATAAATTAAAAAAGCGTTAAATACAAAACATGAAAGCGTAAAACGTAAAATTTCAAATACGCAATTCAGTACATTTAAGAGTCACTTGAGATACTTTTGTAGATACGTTGAGCAGGTGAAGCTAAAAGATTGCAATCTCAAAGATTGGCAAGCATGTTAGATATTTTATGTGCTACGAACAAACAAAAGCATTTGATGCATTTGAAATAGAATTCAAAAAATAGAATAAAATATGAAAAAAACCGAGGTAACAGAATATCTAACAAATATTGCTTTGTGCGTTTAACTAACGCCTAAGACTAACTAACAATTAGTGACTTAAAACCATTAGCGCAAAGTATCTGAAGGTGTGTTCTACGTTTTTAGGCTGAATTTTATTTTTATTGTAGTTTAACGTTACGAAATTATGTTTTTACCAAACATAACAGAATAAAAGTTTCTTTTATTTTTATTTTCTTTTAGCCGTAACCGAAATTTATACGCACCACAACAATTTAAAGTGTTTGCATGCAAGAGCTTTGAGGTTTTTGTGTGGGCGAGTGTTAGCCCTACCCACCTGTAAACAGCTTTAGTATAAAAAAAAGTACTATTATTTTCTTTGAACTTTTAATCGAAATATAAATAAATTATATGGAATAGGAAATAAAACGACGTCACTACAAAAATATCTTTAAACATGCAAATTGTCATGTATCTGCTGAGCCGCAAAGCTTTACGCTTGGACAAAATATGTTACTGTGTTCGTTTATCTGATGTTGGTGACACACTTGCGCTCCGTTCGACCTAATCAAGGCAACTTTTATGTTCCATGGCTTAAATCGATTTACATATGTTTTCAGTTGAATTAGGACAACCCAATTTGATTGAATTTTTGGTGGTATAACAAAGCACTTACACACCACAATGCCTAACAGTTTGTGGGTCAAAACAGACATTCGAGGAAGATAAATTCAATTAAAGAAAAATGAGGTTATCACGTAGTTAAAACTGAATGTATTTTAGTATGTAATTTCTTATAAAGTAAAGCATAATGTTGTTATATATATTCAATAAAAAAAAAATTTATTTGCCATATTAAAAATAATTACATTTCTTTAACAATTTTACTATATTAGTTGTATAAGATACTAAGATACTTGTATAAGATACATTGAGTGTTTAATAAATGTGTTTTTAAGCTATTTTACTTGAGTTAAAATATATATTTAATGTGCAAAAAAATAACATAGTTAACTGTGAAAACTTCTAAAAATAATTTATTAAAGTAATTAATTCAGAAATTAATAACAGTTTAATAATTCAAAAAAAGGAAATTAAATATTGAACAAAATAAAAAAAAATTAACTAGATAAAAGTATGATTTAAAAATATTAACAGCAAGTACTTTTTGTTTAACACATTTAATAATTAAAAACAATTTTGTATATTCTTACTTAAATCTGCTTCGATATCTATAATACAAACCAAATGAGAATTACAACTTGCTTAACACTAATCCCGAAAGCTGTGAAGATATTACGACCTTATAACTCAGAAGTTTTTGTTTCAGAAAATCTTCAGTACCTATATTTAATAGAATGCATTATGCCATTATGCTATTACGACGATGATTTAATAGTGTTGTATTTTAAAAACCAGATAAATCAGGATTTGTCTAGCACTAGAGATCTTTGTCTAAAACTACAGACGAAACCATTTCAATAAATGGGAGAAAATTTTTTCTATGGACTGGCAACTTGCAATCACTTTTCATGTCTGTTTCCAGACTTAACGACTTTTTTAAATAGTTTAAAGATCTTTGTAAAGAATAATAGACGAAGCGAATTCAATCATTATTTCAGTTGGTTGGTATCTATTAATGACTTTCTGTATTTTTTTCCAGAACTACAGACGAAACGATTTCAATAATTAAGCTCATGAGTGAGTTTAGCTCACTCGACTGGCATCTAACAATAACTTTTTGTCCTGACCTGCGTACAGGACTACAGACGTAACGACTTCCTTACTTAGAAAATCACTTTTTCAGTGGGCTGACTCTATCAATTACTTTTTGTGTCTAATTAATAATTAGAGAATCGTGTTTTCATTTAGCTGGCATGCTTAACAAATGTAGACTTATTGGATTTCTTTAACTGTTAGACTAAATGGCTTTAAAAAATAGCACACTGGGTTATATTGGAAATAACAGTTAGCATAGGTACCTCGCTTTTTTTGTAACTTCAGGTCATCGTAAAGGGTGTAAGATATGTTTTAGTGGAAGTGTTAATACTTGTATTAACATGCAACTGATCAACGTAATCTAAAGAAACCTTTCCAAATTTAATAGTATCTAGTGATTGACAAAATACTTACAACACAAATTAATTCAAATATTATTAATTCAAATTATACAAAGTACAAATTATTGGGAGTATTTGAACTAAAATCCGATAATTTCGAAATCTGTACCTATATTAGCAATCGCCGAATGTGAATACTATAAACAACATTAGTTCAAATATACTAATTATATTTTGTACACATATATTTTTTATTTTATTTTAGATATTATTTATAATCTACAGATAAAAACAATTTAATTAGTTGGGATATGAAATGTATGCAACATTTATCAAGGAAAATACTCTATAATCAACCGCAATGAAATTGATATGTGAACATTTACTTCCGATTTACAGTAATTTGAGATATTAATTTTAATTCCAGTTTTCTATGTACAAACACTCTTAGATTATAAGGAAATTCAACTGATTTGTATATAAATAATAAATTATAAATAAATAGGGCAAATTTTAATTACTTTAACAGCATGAAACTCTATAGTAATTATCAGGGTAATGTTTGCAATGAACGTAATGAGCAAATGGAATATTTTTTTATTCAAAGGAAATTAATATTGCTAATATATTTAATTAAAGTTTTTCTTCAATGTTTTTGATTTTTTTAAATAATATGTCGATTGTTGAGAAATCTCTTTACGAAACATATGACAAAATTGAATATTTTTCATTTGAGATTGAATAAGAAGTTTTAAAGTTGGAATTCGTGCTTAACAATCCTATGCCAAAACCCCACAGTCAGTCTATCAACACATAGATTAAAATTATTATAGATTTATACAATAAAAAAATATTAATAAATAACTTCAGTATGATAAATATAATATACAGTAAATCTAATAACAGCATCGATTAGTTATTTGCTGTAGAGATGATAGAAACTTTAGGCAATTTCAAAGTTGGAAAATCCCAGCCTAACTTTATTTTAAAAAAATCTATATAAATAACTTAAATAATTTTAATATTTTAATATATTATATTAAGTCATAATAATCACTATTATATACTTTGATTATATATTATAAATTATTATATAAATTATATAAATTGATTATATATTAATATTATATAAATATAAATTGATTTAAAAAAATTGAAAATAAAAAAAATTAATTAATATTTTCTTGATTATCATTTTCAATCTACAGAGATTCCATAATAATATTTCTTTTTATACTTCACATCTCGAAAGATGAGTTAACAATATCATTCATGTGTTTTATTATAAAGACAATAATTTCATTCATGCCAATATAAATAATTAATTTTCTATAATTATGTGAAACATTCTTTAATTTAATTACCCAATAAAATGAAATTTAATATTAATTTTTCTTAAATTTAACTTTTAAATAAAATTTTTTTTAAATCTCTTAGTTAATCGATAATAATTGACAAGCTCAATTATTGGGTATTACATGGTTAATTACTATGCATAGTTATAGTTAGGAACTACTGAAGCCATCATAGGTAGCAGATAGCAGATCTTTCATTTTCAATATTAGTGAAGCATAAAATTGCATACAAATTGTGCATAGTAAAAATTAAAAAAAAAATATACATATACTTTAATAAAATTATATAAAATTATTAAATTTAATACGATTTTAAATGCATAAATAAATTTTATATTTGATGTATT